AACCTGAGTTCTGTACTCGCTAAACATCGCTGCCAGTAAGCTTACAGATTGAAAACAGCCAAGCATCGTCGCCATTTTAAGTTTATTAGAGTGCGACTTCAATCACATTGAAATCACACGAAATCAGCGCTTTCGCTGGAGACGTCCTTCCGAACTGCAGATTAGCCCAGTTTACTGAAATATTGTGTCGTCGGTTTTAATTTGTTCAGCTTCTGTTGTTCCTTTTAGCAGCATCTTGTTAGCTGCGTTGGGAAACATATCATAGCGCGAAACAAACTAGTGTACTTTCCAACACGACCATGCATGTCCCCGGCAAGATACTTCACGTTTGGTTTTCGGACTGTCCGTCCTGAACGCAATGTCGTTTGACGTAAGTTTAGTTCTCTTCTCCACAACCTCACTTACCTGAATTTTGCTTTGTTGAACTTCCTTCACCCAAAGACGTGTTCGCAACTACAAAACGATAACACCCGGGGAAGACACGAGGCTTTGAAATGGAAAACTTCCCAAGGGAGACCCTGCCGAGGAACCGGTAGCACCGGCACGGTCCAATCGCAGCCCACCAAAGCTATTGTTTGGCCAATAAAGCGTGTGTTTTGGTCAGGAAAGATCGAGAAAATAGACATGGAAAAAACAACAACAACAACAGCAAAATCAAAGAAGAAGAAAAAATACCGTGTGGCACGAAATTTTTGCGGTTCCTATTTTGTTCGAATTTTGCGGGGTTTTTTTTCCACGATCCGCAAAACTACGTTGACACGAAAATTTTCTCCGCACAAATTTACTCCACTGGCGAAATTATCATGCAAACTGCACATGTAGAATCTTGTTTCGTTCAGAAACAAAACTCGAAGGATGTACATCAAGTAGTACCGTAGTTTTTGCTGAGCCATAGGCCTTATCACGGTTTTCGACGCCATCTTGACGGGTAGGCAAAGTAGTCAGAAATTACAGTGTATGTATGGGAATCCGATGGCAAATAACTTTTTCCAAAATTGAATTTTACACAATTTGTGAATCGCAACGTTAAAATATCAGGTAGAAGATTGTATTCACCAAGTTTGGAGGGTGTAGCTTAGCTAGAAGACGCTCAGTTGATTTCTCTGATTTTCCATACATTTGCCTGTAAAATTAATTTGGCTGAATAG